ACGTATGTCCAAGTTCAACTGGTTCCCAGCCAGGAGAAAAGGTGCTCCAGGCCTGGAATCCACAGCCTCCACAGCGGGCCTTGCAGCATCCTCTGCAGTGGCTGCAGTTTCCTCCGACTCCAGCCCCTCCAGCACTGTAGCCATCACCCATGGAAGGTCCTCGGGGACCAGACATGTCCCAGCTTGCCAAGCGAGCCTGCTCAGGCAAGGCTGAGGGAAGCTGCAGAAGCAGGGGGAGGAGTGAGCCGTAGGGGACCAGTTTGTTCTCCCGAGCAGAGTAACTCAGCCTGAAAGCAAGCAGCTCTTGAAACCACCGGCCCAAGAACTCAGGGCCTGAGGTGTACAGAGCGGAGTGGCCACTGCAGCCCTAGGACCTACATCTGTGCTGTTAATGAGAACTACTATGTCCTCCCGCCCGGGAGAGGTACCAGGCAGGGAGACTCTGTGAACAGCTAGACAGAACTCTACTAGATCAAGCACAAGGGTAATGTTGCCACGTGACCCCTGACACCACCTACAGGGCTCTTGTAATAAGGGTCCACCTTCAACCTTCACACTCATTAGTTTGGGGAGGACCCTCTTCCAGTGCAGGCTTCGCTTTGTATGAGAGGGTCAGCAAACAGTGCGAGGACTTTGGGGTCCCAGGCTCAGATCTCACATCCCGGCCCCTAGAAGAGGCTCTTGCGCCACAATTCCCAATTCACACCTCCGTTATATGGGAAACACAGAGAGGGGCTCCTTTGGTGTGCAATCACTTTGGTCCCGCCTCTGCAGTAAACTTCCCGCCGCCCACTGAGTACCTGCCACGATGATCTCCGCGCCTCCACAGGCGCGCTCCACATCGGCTTCCCGCCGGCGCGCTTCCGGGCGGGCAGCGGCTCGAGCTCCGCCCTTCCCTGCTAGCCAGTAGGAGCTCCCTGGAACTCTGACTCCCACCTCCTGTTCGGTTGCAAGCACTAGGGAGGCAGGCTTAGCGCAGGGAAACTCGCACTTTCAGACCTCCACAACCTGAGACCTGCTGCGGCACTGCATAGCCTGGGCCCCAAGTGCATTCTAAGGCAGGAATTTGGGAGAGAACTTAGAGAATTATCGCACTCCTTGTTAGAAGCTAGGACTCTGAATGCCCAAAGTGTAGCTAGCACCAAGGGCTTCCTGTGGGAACCCTGTAGTACAGCAGCTCTCAACTTGAGGGTCGCGACCTCTATCTTCAAAACATTTACATTATGATTCATGACACCAGTAAAATTACAATTATGAAGTAGCAATGAAAATAATTTTACGGTTAGGAAGATACTACAACATGAGGAACTGTATTAAAGGGTCACAACATTGGGAAACTTGAGGACCACTGAGTCCAGGACTGCCTTCCCAGGCTCTGCAGTGAGTGCCAACTTGTTGGAGCTTGGACGCCCTCCTCACTGAACATCACTGTGTCAGCTGCCCAGACAGTGAGTGAACTTTCCAGCTTTCTGGCTTTGCCTCTTTGAATCCTGTGGATATCATAAGAAAAAAAAAAAAAGAAACAAACCAAAATAAATAAATAAAGTTGAGATAGGAGATCTTGCTTAAATCCTTTAATTGACAAATACCGAAGCCAACACTCAGCATCCTCAACAGAGTGGTGGACTGGAGATGAGCAAGTGGACAGTCTACAGTCTATGTGATGGGCAGGCTCCCTGCTTCCATCCTTCCTAGCACCTGCCTCCTTTTCAGTTTCCATAAAGCTGCCAGAAGGATCCTTATAAAAACCAGTCCCAGGAGCTTAGTATAACTGTGCTCTTCTGCAAACCCAGTTCCTAGCTGAGATGGGAGGACTGCCATCCTGGGCTGTCTCAAAGCAATAATCGTAGGATATTACTTAACTTTATACTAGTAAACTGGGCATGGTGGAACATGCCTTCAATCTGAAAATTAAGCCATCTCTCCGGCCCTGTTGTGTATTAGAGTTAAAAATGAAAAACAAAATCATGCCGGGTAGATCTCTCTAAGTTCGAGATCAGCCTGGTCTACAGAGCGAGTTCCGTTCCAGGACAGGCTTCAAAACTACAGAGAAACCCTGTCTCGAAAAAAGCAAACACCACTTGGGAGGCAGAGGCAGGCGGATCTCTGTGAGTTCGAGGCCGGGCTGGACTGACAGCCTCCAAAACAATACAGAGAAACCCTGTCTCATAAAAACCAAAAAAAAAAAAAAAAAAAAAAAGAAAGAAAGAAAGAAAGAAAAAAAAAGAAAGAAAAAAAAGCAAACACCAACGAAAAAAATAACAACACTAAAAAAAAAAATCATGTCTCTGTGAGTTCGAGACCAGCCTGGACTACCAAGTGAGTTCCAGGACAGCCTCCAAAGCCACAGAGAAACCTTGTCTCGAAAAAACCAAAAAAAAAAAAAAAAAATCATGCCGGATATGGTGTCCATGTCTTTAATCCCAGCACTCTGAAAGTAGAGGCAAATGGATCTCTGTGAGTTCCAGGCCAGCTAGAGTCACATGATGAGACACTGTCTCAAAATAAAAAAATAAAATAGAAGTCTGGAGGAATGGCTCAGCACCCACACCAGTTCTGTACCTCCAGTTCCAGGGGAGTTGATGCCTTCTTCCTGCTTCTGAAGGCACTGCACACACATAGAACACATACAAACAAGTAGGCACATATACATTCACATTTAAAAAGAAAAACCAGTGAGGGCGCTAGAGAGATAACTCAGCTGTTAAGACTACAGGCTGCTGTTGCAGATCTTGGTTTGGTTCCCAGCACCCACAGGGCAGTTTACCATCATGCCTAATTTCAGAGGGGGCTGGAGAGATGGCTCAGTGGTTAAGAGCACTGGCTGCCCTTCCAGAGGACCCGTGTTCAATTCCCAGCACTCACATGGCAGTTCACAACTGTAACTCCAGTTCCAGGGGATCTGACACCTTCACACCAATGCACTAAAATAAATAAATTATTTAAAAAAATAAATTTCAGTCCCAGAGCATCTGGTACCCTCTTCTGACCTCAAGGAGCACCAGGCGCACACTTGCTGCACATACATGCAAGTAAAACACATAAACTAAATGAATCTTTTTGTTGGTTGGTTGGTTGATTTTTCGAGATAGAATTTCTCTGTGTAACAGTCCTCCTGACTGTCCTGGAACTCACTTTGTATACCAGGCTGGCCTCAAACTCACTGAAATCTGCCTGCCTCTACCTCCCAAGTGCTGGGGCTAAAAGGTGTACACCACCAAAACTAAATGAATGTTCCTTTAAAAAAAAAAAAAGCTACCTTGCCAGGTGGCTTCCCTAACTCATTCTAGCTCTATTAAGAAAATCCCCCTAGGGGGCTCGAGAGATGATGCAGTGGTTGGGAGCACTGGCTGCTCTTCCAGAGGTCCCCAGCTCAATTCCCAGCAACCACATGGTGGCTCACAAACATCTATAATGAGATCTGGTGCCCTCTTCTGGCACATAGGCAGAATACTGTATATATAATAAAAAATAAATAAATAAATCTTTTAAAAAGAAAGAAAATTCCTCTGGGGGCTAGAGAGATGGCTCAGTGTTTAAGAGCACTGGTTGCTCTTCCAGAGGACTTGAGTTCAATTCCCAGAACCCACATGGTGGCTCAGAACCATCTATAATGGGATCTGATGCTTTCTTCTATCATGCAGACATACAGGAAGACAGCGTACTCATATACATAAATGAATAAATCTTAAAAAACAAAAGCCTCTGTGCCTTACGTGTGGGTGAGAACAGCCACATCACGTAGTGTGGGCTCAGTCTAGCAATGTGAGGCACTCCACACAAAGTAGGCGTACACTATGCAGGAGGCTGCCCTCCCCAGTTGGGCTGTCAGCATAACCTTATGTCCAGGCAACTTCTAGTCTTGGCACGGAAAGCAAAGGCCTCTCTCAGCTCAAAGTTACTACTTGGGAAGATTTACTGGTCTTGGAAGACAAAAAGCTTCCTGATCTAAGGCTAGGATTTTCTTTCTGTTTCTTTTGTTTGTTTTGTTTTTTGGGGTAGGGTTTCTCTGTATTGTTTTGGAGGCTGTCCTGGAACTCGACTGTAGACCAGGCTGGCCTTGAACTCACAGAGGTCCGCCTGCTTTTTGCCTCCCGAGTGCTGGGATTAAAGGCGTGTGTCGCCGGGCGTTGGTGGCACACGCCTTTAATCCCAGCACTCGGGAGGCAGAGGCAGGCGGATCTCTGTGAGTTCGAGACCAGCCTGGACTACCAAGCGAGCTCCAGGACAGCCTCCAAAGCCACAGAGAAACCCTGTCTCGAAAAGCCAAAAAAATAAAAAATAAAAAAATAAAGGCGTGTGTCACCAACGCCCGGCTTCTTTCTGTTTCTGTGTTTATTTATGAAGTCCTGAGTTGGAGGACAACTTGAGGGAGGAACTTTTTTCTATCATGTGAACCCTTTGCCTCACGATTGCTGGGATTAAAGGTGTGCCACCACGCCAGCACTCTCCGAAGTAAGAGGCAGACGGATTTCGGTGAGGTCGAGGCCAACATGGTTTACATAGAGATTTCCAGGATAGCCAGGATTATATAGAGAAACCCTGTCTCAAAAAAGAAAAAGAAAGCCACGAGATATGGCCGCAGTCACTAAACTCCAGACAGCCCGACTTCAGATCCCTGGTGTCCAAGGCCAGGAAACAAGCCACACACCCAATTTAAACCTTCAAGACATCTAGCCCTCATGCAACAAGAGAAAGCTAACGGGGCGGAACTTCCGGTGGCAAGGTCCACTCTGGCAGCGATGGATCATGGGGCTTGAAGTTCGCCTTGAAAGTTACGGCTCGGGCGGGGTCTCAGCACGGCATACTGGGAGCTATAGGGCCGGGGCATGCTGGGAAGGCCAGGCGTTAAAAGGGTTTGAAACCTCCTTGAGGTCTTTCGCCCGTGCCCTCATGGATTTCGGGGAGTCTCGCCCACGTTACATGAGCACCTGGCCACTAAACAACCCGTTGTCTTTGTTGCGGGGTACACCACCGGAGACGGGGCAATGGCTGCTTCACTTCCGGTCGCTCATTTCGTCAATGGGAGGCGCCGTGCGCGTCCCGGGGGCTTCTGGGTAGCGGTTTACCCCCGCCCACTGCATCAGCGTCTTCCTTTCGCTGCCGGACGCCGACGAGGTCGCACGCGTGAGGCCTGTCCGCAGCTGCCAAGTGAGTGGGCCTGCTGGCCCGGCCGCGGGCGGGGGTCGGGACTGAAGGGCGGGTTGGCGGCCGGGAGTCGAGGGGGTGCACGGCCTCGCATGGACGGAAGCTTCGGCCCGCACGTGGCCTCACTTGTTGGCTAAAATGGAGGAGTGAGCAGAAGGCCTCTTGGGTAACGCCACCGCCGTATCCTCTCTCTGTCCCTTTCAGCATGCGCTACGTCGCCTCTTACCTGCTTGCCGCCCTTGGGGGCAACTCCTCTCCCAGCGCCAAAGACATTAAGAAGATACTAGAAAGCGTGGGCATTGAGGCGGACGATGACCGACTCAACAAGGTATCTTGGTGCTTCCTGCACCCTGTGGTGTGGTTACAAATGTCGACTCGCGGCGGCCCTTGTTACCATGTTAGACCTAGGATCTAGCCTAAAAGGAGATGTGGATGACTTTGTGGGAAAGATGGAGGGAGGAGACCTAAGCCCAACGTTGTGGTGGTTTCTTTTATTTGTTTTTTTGGTTGTTCGAGACGGTTTGTCTGTAACAGCCGTAGCTATCCTGGATATAGCTTTGTGGACCAGGCTCGAACTCCCAAGAGATCCGCTTGCCCCTGCCTCCCGAGTGCTGGGACTAAAGGAGAAGCACACCACCGCCGCCCGGCTAAATATTCTTTTGAGGACCTTGTTTAGTCAAAGGATTTAGTGCAAGCCACCAAAGGTCTGATCATCGTGCTTTTTAGAAGTTTGATGCGACTTATTTGCGTGGTATTATTATTTTGCTACTTTTTCATGACAACAGTCCAGCCTGTTCTGGAACTTGCTCTGTACACCAGCCTGGCCTCGAACTCAGATGAACTTGCCTCTGCCTCCCAAGTGCTGGTTTGAAGGCATGTGCCTCCCCTCACGGCGGTTTTATAATGGTTTGTGACAAAGTCTCACAGTATTAGCTCTGGTTATCCTGGACATCATGTAGATGCCCTTTTTTTTTCCTTCAAGACAGGGTTTCTCTGTAGCTTTGGAACCTGTACTGGAACTGGTTCTGTAGACCAGGCTGGCTTGAAACTCCTCCTGAGTACTGTGACTAAAGGTGTGTGCTACCACACTTGGCCTAGACCAGATTTGTGTGTGTGTGTGTTTTTTGTTTTTTTTTGTTTTTTTGTTTTTGGTTTTTCGAGACAGGGTTTCTCTGTATTTTGGAGGATCTCCTGGAACTCGCTTTGTAGACCAGGCTGGCCTCGAAATCACAGAGATCCACCTGCCTCTGCCTCCCAAGTGCTGGGATTAAAGGCATGTGCCACCAACGCCCGGCTGTGGTTTTTTTTTTTTAATTTAAATTAGAAACAATCTTATTTCACATCTCAGTTTCCCTCCCATATCCCTTACTGACCCTCCCCAAGATCCATCCTTTCTCTGCTCCCCTGGGAGGGTGAGGCCTCCCCTGTGTGTCTCTGCTGAGGGAGTATCCCGCAGTGGGCTCTCCCAGAGTACATTCCTACACTAGGTGTAAATACTGTTCTGCCCAGACCTGGTAACTGACACTTTCAGGGGGCCTGGTTCTGTTCTCATGCTGGTTTCTCAGCTATCAGTCTGGGATCCATGAACTCCCCCTTGTTTAGGTCAGCTGTTTCTGTGTTTCCACAGCCTGATCTTGACCTCTTTGTTCACTCCTCCCTCTATAGATCAGGTGTTTTTTAAGGGTTATTATTACTGTGTACAGTAGGTGTTATTTTCACAGAGTGTAGATGGCTTGTCAGTCTCCCTGGTGCTGGAGTTATAAGTGTTGAGAATCAAACACCAGAACTTAGCAAGAGTAGTAGCCCAAGCTACAGAGTGAGATCCTGTCTGGAAAAAAAGACAACCCAAAACAGTAGTATATGACTTTAGTGGTGGAGCTTTCTCTTTGCTCCTAAAATCCATTAGAAAAGTATTTTTACTCTTTAGGTTGTGCAGGGATAGAACCTAAGCTCCATCATGAGCCTTAGAATGTTAGCTTAAAAATTTCCTATTGCCAGCGTCTTTGTTTACAAGACTGAGTCCTGTGGCTCTGAAGCAGGTCTAGAAGCTTCAGAACACTTCACTGTGTATTGCACTACCAGTTCTGTCCACATATGTGTTGATACTGACCACTGGATATGTTTATCTACTCAGGTAATCAGTGAGCTGAATGGAAAAAACATTGAGGATGTCATCGCCCAGGGTGAGTTTATTTAGGGTAAGATTGTGTTTGGGGTCCATACTAATCCCTGCTGGTCAGTCAATGATCTGCCAGGCTTCGCTTGTGGACCAGAGCATCCTAGAAGCCATGACAGTTGAGCAAAGCCTTTTTTATCTTAGGCTTGTGCCAGCAGCACTTCTGAACACACTTGGGACTGGGCAGAGGGAGCACACTTACTGTTCCTTCCAGGATGTGAAAGGCCTTTTTGGTGAACAGGGACTGGGTTTTCTAAAATGGTACAAGCTCTTAATCCTCTCTTGGTGGTGGATAGATAGATTTCTCTGCTGTAGACTGAGACTTAACTTAAGTTCATCTTAAGTTTTTTGGGGGAGGGTTGGAATTCAAGACAGGGTTTCTCTGTGTGTGACATTTGTGGTTGTCCTAGAACTCACTTTGTATCCAGACTGGCCCCTAACTCACAGGATTAAGAGCATGTACTACCACTGCCCAGCCCGGTCTTTAAGTTTTTAGCTTGATTTAGTTATTTGGGGGCATGATTTTTTCTGAGTAGCCCCAATGTTCTGGAACTCCCTGAATGTGCCAGCTTGGCCTTGATGTCAGATCCACCTACCTCCTGGCTACTGGATTATAAGCATGTATCATTGTCTTGATATATACATGCATGTATTGTATATGTATGTAAAGTTTATTTCTATGTTCATTGGTGTTTTGTCTGCCTGTGAGGGTATCAGATCCCCTGTTTGTTTTTGTGTAGCTCAGGCTGATCATGAACTCATCTTTCTGGGATTAAAAAGTACTGTACCTGGATTGTCCATCTTAAGATCATGATGAGTCAGGATAGGGGAAAGAAGTATTATGTGCCTCAGTGTGTACAAGGTTGGTTGCCTTGTGATCAGAGTGAAGCAGGTGACAGTGGTATGAGTATGCTGAGCCACTGGTGTGATAGCTTCCTTTGGTTGGTCACTCTATCCTTGTGGAAGAGCTTTCTTGGCCGGGCCTCTTTTCTGGTCTCACGTTCTTTTTTTATTTATTTAGGTGTTGGCAAACTTGCTAGTATGCCTGCTGGTGGAGCTGTGGCTGTTTCTGCTGCCCCTGGCTCTGCAGCTCCTGCTGCTAGTTCTGCCCCTGCTGCAGGTAAGTAGGTAGAGGTGGCGATCTGTAGGGATTGGTATTTAAGACTTGGTGTTGGGTGGGGCTTGCAGGGCAACCTGTGAATGAGTTCTTGGGGCTGTGCTTACTATGGTGTTCTTCCACAGCAGAGGAGAAGAAAGACGAGAAGAAGGAAGAGTCCGAAGAGTCAGATGATGACATGGGATTTGGCTTGTTTGATTAAATTCCTGCTCCCCTGCAAATAAAGCCTTTTTATGTATCTTGAGTGGCCTTTGAGCACAATTGTTAGCACGCAACACCCATACTCCATCCAGAGAGCTGAAGTATGTTGTGTAAAAGAGGAGGAACAAGAACCTCCCATGTCCCTTAGCTTCAGTGAACTTTCAGGTTCTGTGAGAGATCACTGCAGCTTTCACGGAACACTGAAAAGTGTATGTGCCAAATGTGAGACTGAGTTACGCTGTTTGAGGGGTTCAGTGCTCTGCTGTAAGGGGAGAGGTACCTGGACCTCCACAAGCTGGTCAACAAGGGACTTACTAGGTCAGACTGCACCCCAATAAAAATGGGTTGGCTTGCTTTTAGTTCCATACAGAGGGGCTGGAGGCAATCTGGTGCTTGTGTTGGAACAAAATAGAGACCTATGTATACAGGAAGAGTGGGTCTAGGAAGCATAAGAAGTCACAGCTTTATTGCAGTGGAGTAAGCTACGAGGGAGCAGGTAAAGGTAGGGCTGAGGAAAGGATGGTCTCAAGGGCAGCTTTGGTGGTCTTGGCCAGGCTGGATTTCAGTCTGGACCCTAAAGAAAGGGGCCTGTCCTCATAAGACCGCAAGTGGGAGTTGCCTAGTCAGGATTCTGAGAAAGGACAGCCATGTTCTTGGCACCAGCATCTCCCAAAGGGCCTGAAAGCATGTGTACCCAAACAGCCTGACTGTTCTGTGGAAATAAGAGCAGAGGTCCCATTGAGTTGGCAGCACTGTCCCTTGAGCCTGTTACTGAAACCGTGGAGAGGATCTTCAAGGTTCTTAGCTTTTTTTTCTCTCGAGACAGGGTTTCTCTGTATTGTTTTGGAGGCTGTCCTGGATGGAACTCCTTGGCTACTTGTGACCACCATAAACCTTAGATTTACTCGCCACCGCTGAGGACTTGTTCCTATTGTACCATGCTTCTAAACTGGTCGTATTAATCAGGACATACTCATACCCCCACCTTGAGAGCATTTGGCCTAAAAGTCACTAGGTGCCCTAGGCCAGTATGGAACAAACTTGCCAGCATGGAAGACCTTCAAAAATTAAGGTCACAAGCTAGGTCGGTGGTGATGCATGCCTTTAATCCTAGTAGGGGTATCTCTGAGGTTAAGGCTAGTCAGGGTGGTTACACAGAAAACTATAACCCTGTCTCAAAATCAGGGATTGAGAGATGTTTTAAGAGTACTGTTCTAGCCGGGTGTTGGTGGCGCACACCTTTAATCCCAGCACTCAGGAGACAGAGGCAGGCGGATTTCTGAGTTCGAGGCCAGCCTGGTCTACAGAGCGAGTAAAAGTACTGTTCCCAGTATCCACTCTAATTCAAAGGGATCTGACCTACACTCAAGTGTACCTGCCCTTTATACATGTAATTTGAAAAGTAAACATGGATGTTGTGCCCTTGAGAGGTAGAAATGGGTATATCTGAGTTTAAGAAATCCAGGACAGCCAGGGTCACAAAAACTCAAAGCAATTCTATTACATCTTTCCCTGCTCACCCCTCCTTGAGTTCTGTCTGCTAGAGCTCAAGTAGTCTCAGGGCATCTTCACTCCTTTTGATTGCACGTGTACTGGGGCACTGTTGACTTCACCTTGCTACCTATTCCTGTACCCATGCCTGTTCTTAGTTGTGCTGAGTGTGAAATGACTCCATCACAGGATGAATCATTCTGATTTCCGAGAATGTCTCTTGTGCCCTTGCAGCCACACAGCTCTCCATTCCAGACGCTAGGATCCCTTCTGTGGCTTCACTTCTTTCCCTCCATCTATCAGCAGTCCCACCATGTCTCCTGGCTTCATTCCCAACTTAGTCCTTGCCCTGGGAACCGCCAGAGGGATTTAAAACCCAGCCCTGGCAGCAGCTCACCCAGCCCTCACTCTGCTGGTGCACATTTCTTTCTCTTGATGTCTGACATCCAGGGGTTTTCAACATTACTGACCAGACCACCTGCCAAAGAACTGTACTCCCTTTTCTGAGAAACTTCACAAACACAATGGCTAGCAAACTCAACTGCCTCTATCCCAGCATCCCTGTGGCATGTGTGAGGCTTCCCCTGAGTTTTTTCTTCCCTACACACGTCCTTCTCCAGCTGTAAACCTGTATGGTGTACCTTTAAAAGGCTCTTAAGGTAGGCATCTCTAATCCCAGCACTTGAGAGGTGGAAACAGGTTCAAGACTACAAGGACTGAAGTCCATAGATAAGAAAAAAAGTGTATCAGCACATCCTTTAGTTTATAGATTGAACAGCTTCGAAATTCCCCCAAGACACAAATACAACTACTGCTCAGGCACTTAGGCACTTTACTAAGGCCTGCATTTGACTCTTAAAAGTGCCTCTCATTTGTATGCTTAACTTCATTCCTACTGGTCTTGGAATTCTTTGTGGTGCTTGTCAAGGACCTGGGTCACCTGAATAAGAGTCACTGGCTTGCCGGGCGTTGGTTGCGCACGCCTTTAATCCCAGCACTCGGGAGGCAGAGGCGGGCGGATCTCTGTGAGTTCGAGACCAGCCTAGACTACCAAGCGAGTTCCAGGACAGCCTCCAAAGCCACAGAGAAACCCTGTCTCGAAAAAAAAAAAAAAAAAAAAAAAAAGAGTCACTGGCTCAGATCTTCTGACTGAGTTGTTGGTAACATATGTATACTTCAGCTGTTGTGACAGGTCTAAAGCTGAGCTGGGAGTGAGAATTTCTGGGCAAAAAGACACACTGTCATCCATCACCCCAACCTGGACCCGCACCTTGTTTAGGGTAGGGCAAGATGAGAGCTGTTCCTAGGTCTAAGCTAGCCTAGCCTGTCCCACAGCTGAGGGAACAATGCGGAAAAAGGGCGGGAGGGTGACATTATCCCAGGAGCACGCCGCTTCCTGGGACAATTATTGGGGGTGTGGCCTTAGTCTGAGATCAGGTGAATCACAAATCAGGAGCCAGAGTCAGACAACTATACACCCAGGTGAGCAGTCAGGGTATCGAGGGACCCTCTAGGGTGGAACAGGACTTGGGTCTGTGTTTGCTGGGTCAGTGTCAGTCTGTTGTTGGGACCGTGGGTCTTGGGAGCTGAAGTCTCAATGGCTTAGGTTTTCAGGCCCAAGGGGATACTATCTCTGCGTTTTCACCCAGGTTCCAGCTCTTCTGTGTCTGGGTGGGTGTCCCTGGAGAACGGGGAGACGCCTGATCACAAACCAGAGCTCTTCTTAGTCCTGGTACTCAGGCGGCTCTAAGCCCGGGTGCTAACCACGATGTGGGGTCGAAGGAAGGAGGATCAAGGGCTGGGAGGCCCTTTGAATCTCAGATGGCTTTGCCCACCCAGCAGGTGTCGTGAGGGGCGGGGCCTCGGGGGCGCGGCCGTTCCTGGCGCCATCCAGTTGGGTCTCGCGCCCAGGTCCTGCCCCCTGTCGACCAGGCCCCGCCCTCGTCCCCGCACTAAAACACCTCCTCTTCTGCCTCCCCGTACAGCGTCTCCGCCTCCGCCGGCGGGGACCCCAAGCTACCACGACTGCGGGACCCACAGCCCGCAGGCTACTAAGCCACGATGTTCCCGAGGGAGACCAAGTGGAACATCTCGTTCGCTGGCTGTGGCTTCCTCGGCGTCTACCACATTGGCGTGGCCTCCTGCCTCAGCGAGCACGCGCCCTTCCTGGTGGCCAACGCCACGCACATCTACGGCGCCTCGGCCGGGGCGCTCACCGCCACGGCTCTTGTCACTGGGGCCTGCCTGGGTGAGCCGGGCTGCGCGGAAGTTGGGCAGGGTGTGGTGGGTACGGCGCGGGGCCGGGTGGATGCTCTAGCGTCCCACGCCCAACCCGCGTAGGGAAGCCGATACAGCCGCTAGTGCAGTAACGCTGTGGAGTCTCTGCCTGTATCCCGGAACTGCGACCGAAGGTCCAGTTCTGAGCCCTGGTCCGGGGCGGGTTTTGGTTTGTTTTGTTTCAAGAGTGTCCAGGGATTGGGGTAGGGCCTGGCGCGCTCCCGACTGGTGGCATTCTCTCCGCGTAACCCACCTCAAGGGGCACAAAAGTTGGGAACAGGCAGGTGCTGCCAGTCTGTGTTATTGGAAAGAGAAAGTAAATAGTGGGCGGGACTATGAGAGAGAGAGAGAGGAGGGGCATACTTCACTTCGAACCGGCTGCCAGCGGTCACTGCGTCCTGAGGCTCTGCTGCTGCAAACTGCTGTGGCTCTGGGGCCTAGTACCAGGGTATCTCGAGTGGGCATCTGGACACTGTGGTAGTGTCCTTAAAGGGATCTCTGCAGGCAAAGCCCAGCTGAAATCAGGGGTGGGCATAAGTGTATCCTCTGTCCATGGTGCATTGACAGCCTGACACCCCAGCTGTGGCCAGCTGACCCACTTCACGGGGTGGCCATACTTCTGTGTTCTGAAGGGTTTCAAGAGTACAGAGATGGGAGGGGGACTGCGTCTCCGGCTACTTCCATGGGACTTCCGGCTACCACGTGGGGTGTTGTTTACAGTACACTACGTTCTTCCTCCTAAGAGTCCTGGAAACTGCTGCCCATCCCCCGTCCCATAGGTCAGCCAAGGTGGCAAGGGAGTCCTGCTCAGTTGGAGCCTGTCTGGGGTTCTCTGCTGTCTCTTTCCCATCCCCTTTGCCCTGAGGAGGGAAAAGGAGAAGGAACACAGCTCTTGTTCCTGGTACCTTGGGGATTCACCCTGTGATCTTGCCCCCTGGCTCTCATGGAGGCCTTCAGAGGAGTGGGTATAGTGGCCAGCTGGGCTCAGACATACATCGAGACTCCACCTGAGTTGAGACTGAATTAGGGATACCAGTGTCACAGAACTACTTACTGCCAGTACTTTTCACAGGTCATCTTGGGCAGCTAGAACCATGACAATGTGGTAGGTGTCAGCTGTGAGTCCTTGGCCTGTATACCCCATGACTGACAAGGAGCCTTAGAGGAGGGCATGGATCCTCAGGGGAAAAGCCCTAGACTCTCCTTTCCCTGGCCACTATTGGCCACTCCTCTCCTTTACTATTGCTCTGGGCCAGCACCCATGGACTCCTAAGA